GCGGGGCAGGGGGCGGGGCCGGGCCCGGGGGGCGGGGCAGCCCCGAGGCCGAGGCGGAGGCGGGGAGCAGCGAGATCGAGCTCGTCTTCAGGCCACACCCCCTGCTGGTGGAGAAGGGCGAGTACTGCCAGACACGGTGAGCGGCCTTCATCATCATCATCCTCATCCTCATCTTCCTCATCTTCATCCTCTTCCTGTTCCTCTTCCGGTTCCACTTCCTGTTCCTGTTCCACTTCCTGTTCCTCTCCCACTTCTGCTTCTTGTTCCACTTCCTCTTCCTGTTCCTCTTCCTGTTCCTCTCCCACTTCCTGTTCCACTTCCTGTTCCCCTTCTGGCCACGCCCCCTGCTGGTGGAGAAGGGCGAGTACTGCCAGACACGGTGAGCGGCCTTCATCATCATCCTCATCTTCCTCACCTTCATCCTCTGCTTCCTCTTCCAGAACCGCCATTTTCCCATGGATTTATCCTGGTTTTTTCCTGGATTTTTCCCCAGATTTTCCCGCCCCAGAATTCCCATTTTCCCATGGATTCATCCCAATTTTCCCATCATTTTTTTCCGTAATTCCAATAAAATCTCGCTCGCTCCCAGCCCCATTCCCACGGCTTTTTCCCCCATTTTTTCTCCATTTTTTCCCCAATTTTTTCCCCAATTTTTTCCCGGGTTTTCCCCCAGATTTTCCCACCCCAGAATTCCCATTTTCCCATGGATTCATCCCAGTTTTTCCATAATTCCATTAAAATCTCGCTCGCTCCCAGCCCCATTCCCACCGGTTTTTCCCCATTTTTTCTCCATTTGTTCCCCAAATTTTTCCCAAATTTTTCCAAATCTTTCCCCAGATTTTCCCGCCCCAGAATTCCCATTTTCCCATGGATTCATCCCAGTTTTTCCATAATTCCATTAAAATCTCGCTCACTCCAAGCCCCATGCCCACGGCTTTTTCCCCCATTTTTTCCCTTTTCCCAGATTTTTTCCCCAAATTTTTCCCGGATTTCCCCCAGATTTTCCCACCCCAGAATTCCCATTTTCCCATGGATTCATCCCAATTTTTCCATAATTCCATTAAAATCTCGCTCGCTCCCAGCCCCATTCCCACGGGGTTTTCCCCCATTTTTTCTCCATTTTTTCCCCAATTTTTTCCCCAATTTTTTCCCGGGTTTTCCCCCAGATTTTCCCACCCCAGAATTCCCATTTTCCCATGGATTTATCCCCATTTTTCCATAATTCCATTAAAATCTCGCTCGCTCCCAGCCCCATTCCCACGGCTTTTTCCCCCATTTTTTCTCCATTTTTTCCCCAATTTTTTCCCCAATTTTTTCCCGGGTTTTCCCCCAGATTTTCCCACCCCAGAATTCCCATTTTCCCATGGATTTATCCCCATTTTTCCATAATTCCATTAAAATCTCGCTCGCTCCCAGCCCCATTCCCACGGCTTTTTCCCCCATTTTTTCTCCATTTTTTCCCCAATTTTTTCCCCAATTTTTTCCCGGGTTTTCCCCCAGATTTTCCCACCCCAGAATTCCCATTTTCCCATGGATTTATCCCCATTTTTCCATAATTCCATTAAAATCTCGCTCGCTCCCAGCCCCATTCCCACGGCTTTTTCCCCCATTTTTTCTCCATTTTTTCCCCAATTTTTTCCCCAATTTTTTCCCGGGTTTTCCCCCAGATTTTCCCACCCCAGAATTCCCATTTTCCCATGGATTTATCCCCATTTTTCCATAATTCCATTAAAATCTCGCTCGCTCCCAGCCCCATTCCCACGGCTTTTTCCCCCATTTTTTCTCCATTTTTTCCCCAATTTTTTCCCCAATTTTTTCCCGGGTTTTCCCCCAGATTTTCCCACCCCAGAATTCCCATTTTCCCATGGATTTATCCCCATTTTTCCATAATTCCATTAAAATCTCGCTCGCTCCCAGCCCCATTCCCACGGCTTTTTCCCCCATTTTTTCTCCATTTTTTCCCCAATTTTTTCCCCAATTTTTTCCCGGGTTTTCCCCCAGATTTTCCCACCCCAGAATTCCCATTTTCCCATGGATTTATCCCCATTTTTCCATAATTCCATTAAAATCTCGCTCGCTCCCAGCCCCATTCCCACGGCTTTTTCCCCCATTTTTTCTCCATTTTTTCCCCAATTTTTTCCCCAATTTTTTCCCGGGTTTTCCCCCAGATTTTCCCACCCCAGAATTCCCATTTTCCCATGGATTTATCCCCATTTTTCCATAATTCCATTAAAATCTCGCTCGCTCCCAGCCCCATTCCCACGGCTTTTTCCCCCATTTTTTCTCCATTTTTTCCCCAATTTTTTCCCCAATTTTTTCCCGGGTTTTCCCCCAGATTTTCCCACCCCAGAATTCCCATTTTCCCATGGATTTATCCCCATTTTTCCATAATTCCATTAAAATCTCGCTCGCTCCCAGCCCCATTCCCACGGCTTTTTCCCCCATTTTTTCTCCATTTTTTCCCCAATTTTTTCCCCAATTTTTTCCCGGGTTTTCCCCCAGATTTTCCCACCCCAGAATTCCCATTTTCCCATGGATTTATCCCCATTTTTCCATAATTCCATTAAAATCTCGCTCGCTCCCAGCCCCATTCCCACGGCTTTTTCCCCCATTTTTTCTCCATTTTTTCCCCAATTTTTTCCCCAATTTTTTCCCGGGTTTTCCCCCAGATTTTCCCACCCCAGAATTCCCATTTTCCCATGGATTTATCCCCATTTTTCCATAATTCCATTAAAATCTCGCTCGCTCCCAGCCCCATTCCCACGGCTTTTTCCCCCATTTTTTCTCCATTTTTTCCCCAATTTTTTCCCCAATTTTTTCCCGGGTTTTCCCCCAGATTTTCCCACCCCAGAATTCCCATTTTCCCATGGATTTATCCCCATTTTTCCATAATTCCATTAAAATCTCGCTCGCTCCCAGCCCCATTCCCACGGCTTTTTCCCCCATTTTTTCTCCATTTTTTCCCCAATTTTTTCCCCAATTTTTTCCCGGGTTTTCCCCCAGATTTTCCCACCCCAGAATTCCCATTTTCCCATGGATTTATCCCCATTTTTCCATAATTCCATTAAAATCTCGCTCGCTCCCAGCCCCCTGTTCCACTTCCTGTTCCTCTCCCACTTCCTGTTCCTGTTCCACTTCCTGTTCCCCTTCTGGCCACGCCCCCTGCTGGTGGAGAAGGGCGAGTACTGCCAGACACGGTGAGCGGCCTTCATCATCTTCCTCATCTTCCTCATCCTCATCTTCATCCTCTTCCTGTTCCACTTCCTGTTCCTCTCCCACTTCCTGTTCCTGTTCCACTTCCGCTTCCTGTTCCACTTCCTGTTCCCCTGTCTGTTCCTGTTCCACTTCCTGTTCCTCTCCCACTTCTGCTTCTTGTTCCACTTCCTCTTCCTGTTCCTCTTCCTGTTCCTCTCCCACTTCCTGTTCCACTTCCTGTTCCCTTTCTGGCCACGCCCCCTGCTGGTGGAGAAGGGCGAGTACTGCCAGACACGGTGAGCGGCCTTCGTCATCTTCCTCATCTTCATCCTCTTCCTGTTCCACTTCCGCTTCCTGTTCCACTTCCGGTTCCTGTTCCACTTCCTGTTCCACTTCCTCTTCCTGTTCCTCTCCCACTTCCTGTTCCACTTCCTGTTCCCTTTCTGGCCACGCCCCCTGCTGGTGTAGAATGGCGAGTACTGCCAGACACGGTGAGCGGCCTTCGTCATCATCCTCATCTTCCTCACCTTCATCCTCTGCTTCCTCTTCCAGAACCGCCATTTTCCCATGGATTTATCCTGGTTTTTTCCCGGATTTCCCCCAGATTTTCCCACCCCAGAATTCCCATTTTCCCATGGATTCATCCCAATTTTTCCATAATTCCATTAAAATCTCGCTCGCTCCCAGCCCCATTCCCACCGGTTTTTCCCCATTTTTTCTCCATTTGTTCCCCAAATTTTTCCCAAATTTTTCCAAATCTTTCCCCAGATTTTCCCGCCCCAGAATTCCCATTTTCCCATGGATTCATCCCAGTTTTTCCATAATTCCATTAAAATCTCGCTCACTCCAAGCCCCATTCCCACGGCTTTTTCCCCCATTTTTTCCCCCATTTTTTCCCCAATTTTTCCCAAATTTTTCCCCAATTTTTTCCTGGATTTCCCCCAGATTTTCCCACCCCAGAATTCCCATTTTCCCATGGATTCATCCCAATTTTTCCATAATTCCATTAAAATTTCACTCACTCCCGGCCCCATTCCCACGGCTTTTCCCCCATTTTTTCACCATTTTTTCCCCATTTTTTCCCCACTATTTCTCCATTTTTCCCCCAATTTTTTCCCGGATTTTTCCCGGATTTTTCCCCAGATGTTCCCACTCCCGGCCCCATTCCCACGGCTTTTCCCCCATTTTTTCACCATTTTTTCCCCATTTTTTCCCCACTTTTTCTCCATTTTTCCCCCAATTTTTTCCCGGATTTTTCCCGGATTTTTCCCCAGATGTTCCCGCCCCAGAATTCCCATTTCCCATGGATTCATCCCAATTTTTCCATAATTCCATTAAAATCTCGCTCGCTACCAGCCCCATTCCCACTGGTTTTTCCCCCATTTTTTCTCCATTTTTTCCCCGGTTTTTCTCCGTTTCTTCCCAAATTTTTCCCAAATTTTTTCCCAATTTTTTCCCAGATTTTCCCCAGATTTTCCCACCCCAGAATTCCCATTTTCCCATGGATTCATCCCAATTTTTCCATAATTCCATTAAAATCTCGCTCGCTACCAGCCCCATTCCCACTGGTTTTTCCCCCATTTTTTCTCCATTTTTTCCCCAATTTTTTCCTGGATTTTTCCCCAAATTTTTTCCGGATTTCCCCCAGATTTTCGCGCCCCAGAATTCCCATTTTCCCATGGATTCATCCCAATTTTTCCATAATTCCATTAAAATTTCACTCGCTCCCGGCCCCATTCCCACGGCTTTTTCCCCCA